TATATGCAATAGATTTGCGGACCCAAATCCAATCCAGCACCGCTGGTTATATGCACGACAAGCTGCGATCTCTCCTACCTCAGTCTCCTGTATGCATTCTCTAACTCGGCTCCCTTAAAATAGTTTTTAAAATTTGAAAATCTGGGTTTTTTTTTTTTTTTTCTTTCTACCATCTTTGATTTATGGTATTTTTCTTAGGTGAAAATTTCGGTTGAGAGAGCATTTGATGTGCCAGATGAGTTTGTGGAGACAGAATACCATAGGGAGCTGGGTTCTATAGAACAAAGCACCATCCGGTATATAAAATATACCCATAATCTTCCATTTTCTCAAACATTGATGATCCCTTTAGGATTGATTGAGTTTTGTGGCGTTTCTCGTCGATTGATAACAGACTGGAAATGGGTTTATATAAGGGTCTCGAAGGATGACATTGGAGAGAATGGAAATGATATTCAGTCCGTAGTCAAGTCAGTCCTGCTCCGGAAACAGAGTCGTCGGTGAAGAGCAGATGAGATAATTTTACCTAGTAAGTGTATCTGAAAATTAAGTATCCTACTTCAGAAATTATAGACTAATTAATTAATTTTAATTTTATTTGAATAATTTAAATTAAATTATTTAAATGAATGAATGAATTAAATTAATTAAAAATTAAAATTAAAATAATTTTAAGTAAATAAACAAAATTAATTTGATAAAATAATATCTACCGACTTTTTTCCTTTTTTTTTTTTAATATGCCGAGTTACTTGTTGCTGTATCTCTCTAAAGTTTTCAAAATCTGAATTTTTTTTTTTTTGAACACTTTTCAAAATCTGATTTTGGATGAAGATTTTTAGAGGTTAGAGACAAAACTGCTTACGGCGTCGACACTACAGTGTTGGTGTCGACAGTTGTGGTTCTATTATCGCCCGGCCCATTTTCGAAAGACTTAGCTCATAAAGTTGACTTGACACCTGACAACTGGTGTTGACACTAAACCCGCGTCGGGTTTTTGCACTTTTGTAATTTTTTCGACGATAAAATAACAGATCTGGTCTTCCAGCTTCTTCATAATGAGTACTTTGATCCTATAACTTGGAATTCATTTATTTAGATCATGATATAGTGGTTACAACTTATCTTCTTGCAGTATAGTCCCTCAACTTTCAAAAGATATTCACTTAAGTCAAAAAACTTTTATTATCATGTATTCAAGTCAATTTCTACACTAACAATGAAAATTTTGTAAAATTCTTTAAAAATACATCATATCCATGTAAATAATAATAAAATTAAATTTAAAATAAAAAATTAAAATATATAAAATGCAGCTCATTAGTTAAACTACTTTTAAAAATCAATTTTGTAATAAATAACTAGATTTTAAAATAAGTTTCTATTTTAAATTGTGATGGGACTGATCATAATGCAAAGTATAGCCTCATATTTGAAGACCAGTTTGAAAGAGAATTAAAGGCCTTATCTTGCATGGTTGATTCTAAGTTGTGAAAAAACTTCACTGGCTGATGTGAAAGACTCCTCTCTTGTGCTGTCCCTCAAAATGGGCACATCGTCTCTCTCAATTTGTAGGCTAAGTGAAGGGAGTCGTTGCACATTAACCAATCGCAAACCGGAGGTAGCATCAATGTTGCTTTCTTCATGAGGTCCATACACCGCAGTTTACTGAAGCTGGTCCCATAGCACTTTGTCATGTTGGAAATTTTTAGTTGGGCTGTTGTTAATTGTATTTGGTTTTTAAAATTGGGTCAAATGTAAAAATCGGTAAAACTCAATAAATTAATGTAATCCAAGTGGGCTTAAGTTTTATCTCAGTTTTTTATATGATGTGATATGAATAAGTGTAGAGTCTGGAATTAAAGGTTCGCTACTTGATGAGGTGCCCAAAAGATTATTATAATTGGTTAGGTCACCTCTCCCAATTAGAAAACCTTATCTCTATAAATAGGAGAGTTAGGGAGTGGCATGACCCATTGGTTGTCACTATACAGAAGTTGATTAGGGAAAGGAAGACTTAAATCTCAATACTAACTATATTTGTTTTGTAGATTTTATCATGAGATCCCTAATTATGATGATTCTTGAAAATTCTTGAAAATTCTTAAGTAATATATTGATTAAGAAGATCCAAATACACAATGTATTTATTTTATTAGATTTTGGTATCTTAAATTCTACGCATGTCAATCCTTAAAATTTCAACATGTAGTATCAGAGCACGTTATATGTAGATCTAGTATCCAAGTCTTTTATTTTTAATATGGTTTCTGCGCTACTTTGATGAACCGATTAAGTTTTTTGATCTTAATATTATGCGCTTAGCTTTCATAATTAAGATTAAAACAGATGTTATGTAATTGAATAGTCAAGACTTTAAAAGATATAAAACATATTTGTAAATTCGTTTGTATGAGTCGAATTTTGTGTTTAGAGAGCCTTGACTTTGACTAATTTATAAAAACTCAAGAAATTTACGTTAATATTAATGTGTCTTAATCGTATTTTATGTGTGTCTAATTAAATCTATTGATTTTGGAGATTGGAGAGTGGTTCATGGGTTAAGAAATTGCAAAAAAAAAAAAAAAAGGTTATAAAATCCGTTGCAGGTCTAAGATTTTGAGAAGAAATTGATTTTCTTTTGTTTTAATGTCTTACTAATGACTTGTATAAATTGATGTGTAACATCTCTTTAATAAATAAAATTAGGTTTTGAAATCCCGTTTTGAATAAGAGCAAAAGAGTAGATCGGGGGGCAGAATCCCAATTTGTTAAGATCTCTAACTAACTAAATAAATAAATAAAGAAATAAAGGGAGAGGTTAAACGCAGAAAGTGAGAACCCAGGAAACTATTGTGGCAGGGATGATTAATGATTAATGAAAAAATTTCTATTTGATCCCTTAGTAATTCTGTTTAGTGAAAATTTGTCCCTGAAAGTTTAATAAGGTTACAAATTAATATTGGATGGTCATAAAGTGAGGGTTCGATCATATCAAATAAGTAAAGTTTAAATATAAAGGGAAATTCAGTATATAAGAATAATTGGTATTTAATCCTTTTATTTTCTTAAGAGTGTTTAAAATAATCTTCATGAATAATTACGTAACATGAAGGTAAATTTAGTTGAATTTTTTTGGATTTTTGAGTTTATGTTATGATATTTTTTTATTATTTAATATCTTATTTGAATTAATTGATTTTAAAAAAAAAAGGTTTAGGATTTGGAATCCTAATGGGAAGTGAAGAAAATGAGTTGATTAGGATTGTGTATCTCAATCTGTTAAGGAATTCAACTAAGTTAAAAAAAAAATATAAATAGAAGTTGAGGGACCAATGTTGTTATTTTACTATTTTTAGAAATTACATAATGGTCCAAAAATCGGGATTTGTTATTTCTACTATGGGTGAAGGTGTCGACACAAAACCAGTTCAAAGTAATTGTGCAAATCTGACACAGTGTAAGAATGTCGACACTTAAATTTTGCAGCAATTAAGCATTGAGTGGTTTTAAACCTTTTAATATTGTGTATTGAAATTTATATACAATGTATTAAATTCTATGTGAAGAATATTTATTAATATAATCTTATTTTAGATTATTTGCATAAAGAATTTTTATTATGTGATTTGATTTTATAAAATCAAGATACTTGTTTACATAATAAATATATATTAATTCATTCCATCTAAATTAAAATAAATATTAAGTGTAACATATAAAATATGTGTCAATATTTAGAGGTTAAAGATATATGGTTAGTGGTAAATAAATTATTGATAAGATATGTTTTTCATTTTTTTGTTTAAAATAATTTTGTGAACATTATTATGCATATGATATATACTTCTTAGAGACTGAATTTCAGAATTTTGTTAAAACAATTAGTCATAATTGGAGGTACGCGACTTTATATACCCATGATTTATATAGTGTAATATCTTTGGATTAAAGTTATTGAAATTGGTTGTACTCCTCATTTGTAAAGTTTTTAAGTTTGACCATTAATAAAAAAATTTATGGTTATAGCTAAATGAGTAAATAATTGTGAAACTTTAGTTTTCATTAAAGATTACTTGCCTTTATATGTGGTTTAGCATATGAGTTTCCTAACTCTGTGTTTTCTAATAAGGAAATAAAGTGTCCATATTTGGATGTAAGGAACATATTTACAATTACTAATAAACTATCTATGCAAATTAATTATACATTTGGAGAAAGTATAATTGTTATTTTTTACTAACTTCATGGAAGTTAAGAAAATTTTCAGAGAATATGTATTAAAGGTGTGTCATAACCCAATTTTAATTGGGGCTAAGTGATAAAAGTAAAAGCTCACGGACTATTTTTTGCAAAAAGTGTGAAGCTTGAAGGGTTGAGAGGATAAACTAGCAAAACAACATCGTTTTGCTTGTAAGCTGAAATAAAGGTTGAAAACCCTAGCCACCCAAACGCGTTTCTTTATTTGCTCTGTCGCTAGCCCTTCTCAAAACAGAAAAATCACAAAACTTTTCTTGACTTATCCCTAAATCTACTCAAGTTTTGAAGAAATTTACGGAGATTGAAAGTCATCAACAAGAGGCGCAAAAGAAGAGTTCGAAATTGATTCAAAGAAGGGAGTTATAAGCATAGAAGGTATGAATCTAGACTAGAAAAGGGGTAGATGTGGGAAAACTAAGAAATCCCATTCCAAATAGGATTTAGTTGTTATCTTAGGGACTGGGATTTGAGTATTAGAACCACATTATGATTGGGTTTTCCTTGTCTATACAAAGGGGGGGCCTTCGACTTCTAGAGGGAGGAAGTTGGAGGAAGAGAGATCCGAGAGTGGAGGGAGAGAAAGGGGAAATGCAGAAACTTGTATTTGGACTTCAAGAGAATAAAGTCTTGATTTTTCCTTTTCTTCAGGTGTGCATTGTTCATAATTTTTTTTTTCTTTCTGCGTTTTCTGTTGTTCATATTTTGTTCTTTCTTCTTCTCTTTTGTGAATTGCTTGATTGCCCTTTTAATTGTTTCTTTCTTGGTTTATATGTAATTGGTCTTGAAGCTTGCCACAAACATGATTTCACTTGTTTTTCCCCATTAGTTTGGTTTCCTGCGATCCAAAATAACTATTTGTAGATTTTTAGTTTGTTTTATGCATGAAGTTTAGGATCTGTTATTATGCAATAATAGGAAAAAGGATTGGGAAAAGAAACTCTCTTAGGAAATATGAGGTGGGATTTAGGCATTAGAAGAAAAAAACAGAAACGAAAATAAAGTCAAGAAGAAGGAGTGCAGAAAAAAAAAAAGAAAAAGAAAAGA